TCTTAATTTTTACGTATTTAGTCAAAATTTGAACTTTAAATGCTTATAAAAAATAAAAAATCTTGCCAATGTATTTTTAATAATTTTCAACTGMTATTATAACAATATGTAAGAAACCTCTTGTATTAAATTTTTAAGCTTTTCTACCCAACAAATAAATTTGTATCGATATTAATTCAAAAAAAACTAATAATGATCGAAAATTGCATTTGCCTATAAATAGTTCAACTTAAGTCAAATTTTTTTGAAAATTGCATGGTGGATAGAATATAAATATTAGGTGAAATTTTCATGTAGGTATCTATGGTAATTTGTTTTAAGTTACATCAAAAACGAAAATTGATTTTGTCGAAAATCGATTGTGCGTAAAAATTCCCACTTCCTTAATTTAAAGGTTGTTTATCCCAATTATTAAGAAAAATGTTGAGAAATTTTTACCTTTGACCCCCCAAAGTACCAACTAGATTCACTTTCTAATMGAACGAAGTACTGAAGTTGAAAATCGAAGCACCTTTACTGCCCTAAAACGTGATGACAGACACAAAAAAAATACAAAAAAAAAACACACATCATGGTAAAATCAAWAAATTCCTCGCTCCACTCAGAATCTAAAAATAATTTGTAATTAAATCGTATTAACTTTCTATGAAGTCCATAAGAATCAATTTTTGAATTAAAATACAATCATTATTTTTTGATAAGCAACCAATTTCGTCAGAATATGATGTACATTAACAGAGGTTAAAGTGGGGAAAAATTCCAGAGGGGACTGATGTCTCCATAAAGTTTTAAGCGTTCCATATATAATTTTAGGTATAATGTCTAATGTATAAAATCCTAATTTGTTAAAGGGGACGMTTTTTAACCGCCGTCAGAGGTAAGGGGACTGAGTCCTCCTGCGTCCCCCTCCACTTTAACCCCTGTACATTAAACGTCCAAAAAAATATTGATTTATTTTGTTTTTCTCGATTGTATACCTATATATAAGTATTGGGAAGTTTGGTTTAATTAACTAAATCTGACTTTCTACCAAAAAACACCTTTAATGTTTTTAAAAAGTAATACACACTTAAACTACAACATTATTAGTTATAATTACATGAGATAAGGTAAATGATTGGAAACATATGTATTAAATACCAAAATTAATATGAAACTATTAATGATCAATAGGTTTTTTTTGTTAAAACAAATTAACAAAGTCATTGTGTTCGTTTATTTAACCTGCAATTGCCATTATTACTCGTATGTGCAAAAACAATATTCAACATTCCACGCTACTACTGTAACTAGTAACTATACTGTCTACTAATACATAAACCTATAAATGTATATCTATGTACCTACAGTATCAGTATAGTAGATAATAATATTATGTTCATTGTTAGCAGCGTAATTTTAGGGGACAATAGCCTCAATCAAGCTTTTGAGCTTTACCCATGTTTGATTTTAAGAACAGTAAAAAAAACTGTTGTTGAAAAACATAATAATTTTTTTTTTTTAATTTTGAGAAAACATAATATTGTGTATACTAAAAAATGATTGTCAAGATAATTCATTAGCAATTGATATTTATTATAGTTTTTACTTCGAAATCTGGACGCGTTAGATTTCTGACACAATATTATAAAGTTATAAGTTATGATGAAACACGTGTTAGTGGGTATAATATATAACTGTATATAACTCTGCTCCGCATTATGGCGTCTAGCTAATCATTATAATGGTTCTGTTAAATTCGAATTCAATAATTATTGTATACCATAAACCATTCTGAACGATGACGGTCTGTMAGCCTTTAATAATATAACTATTTTTCTAAGTAAATTTTATATCATAGTGAATGGTAATTAAAGTAGTTTATGTTACTATTAGCCATTAGGCATTAGAAATACGCAATAATAAGTTAAATTGATTTTTCCAGAAAAATTGCATGTGGAAATGTTATTAAATGTAAACTGCCACTGCCACTGTCACTGCGTATACAATATAATAATGTACTCTAAAAGTMGCAAGTACTCACGAATAATATTTTCAAATATAAGAAAAAAATAACTAAAATCGATATTCTTTGTTTTAATAGGTACTTAATTTTGTCCAAATAACTTGAACTTAAAACATCTAAAAAAAACTGTGTTTGTTTATTTTTTAGATTTTGTTATTGTATGAAGTATTTATGAGAATCCTTGCTTTGGGTGCCATTCAATCCGTATAGCTATAAAAATTGAACATTTTATAATTTTATCACTACAAAATCATTTGAAACCTTTTGGATTTTGATAAATTCTCACAAAACTTGTAGTTTACCTTGATTTTTGTTTATTTTTGAATCTTTTGAAAACTATTGTGAATCCTTTACTTTTTACCGCCCAAAGTATTAACTATATTCACTTTCCTATAAGAAAAGATGCTGTTGAAGAAAATCTAAGCATTTTTTACCGTCTTAAAACATTATGAAAGACACAAAAAAAAACACATGACATTGTAAAATTCGAGGTAAAATCAACGCACATTCATTGCTCTGATCAGAATCTAAAATAAAAATCACTACTTATTAAATTGATTTACGATTTCTAAAAAASCTTTATAATAGAAGATATTATCACAAGCTGTTTAATAAAATATAATAAAACCGAAAAAAGAAAATACAGCTAAATGACAAAATAATAATGTTATATACTTATATATTAATCCATGTGTTTGTGGGTTTCGATATMTAAAATGATTTCAAGGTTTAAGGTTTTGTATCATTATATAAAATATCCATGCAACCGTCGAACAGATAAAACGTATAGAAAAGAACACACACACATAACATACAAGTAGGTATACTGTACACAACTATAATAGCTATATCTAAAGGTCATGGAGCCGACCTCGACACCTCTGCGTCGTTTCACAAAAAAGACAATTCCCTTGTTGTTTCTGATGTTTTTTCGTGTCTACGTTATTGATATCCAATTTGAATAATATAAATAATGCACCAGTATAGCATTACAATTTTTGTTGGGATATTATATGATAAATTATAATACCGTTACTAAAAAGTATAAAATACATTTTATAGACGAAATTATTTTGTCATTATATGTGTATTATTATTGCGTAAATAGTTTGAATTGTATACGAGAATATATTTTGTTTGTATCAAACATTTTACGTAATTAAACATCTATTAAGAAACTATCATAATTTGTAAACATGAGTAGATATTATGAATTTAASATACGAAGTTGTAGTAATTTAAAAACCTTATAAGTGGGGGAAGTGAGTGAAGTTTTATTATTGGTGGGCCGTGGGTAGTAGTGTGGTACTGCAGTACGGTGAGGCCATAGACTACTCTAAAATTATGGAAATATATATCCAAAGAAATTTAGGGCAATCAAGTTTCTAAGAAATTAAACTACTTTCATAATCAATATGTTTTTTTTTACTTTTACAGATTATCGGTTTGAAAATATTTAATTTTAGCTAGGCGCCACTGGATCTATTGTTATCTACTATAAATAAAATACTTATTGAAATATGTATATAAAAAAAAGAGGATAGATCAACCTTTTCTAATGTTTAATATCTGATGACCATAAATTAATAATTAAATAGTACCTACATGTTAAAAAATTAGGTATATCCCACTGACAAAATCATTTGCACCACTTTCGAGAGTTCGGGACTTTCGGTTTGTTTTATGAAAGTTAAAATCTCTCATTTATTATGCATGTGCTTTTGTGTAGATTTTTGCAAGAAACTTGTAATAAGGATCCTTCCAAGATGAAACTCTAAATACGATATCATATATCTATGATACATTCGTTAATACATCATATTTACAATACTGTAGACGGTACAGAGTGTATACGTTTGACTGTTTTGGTACGTATCTAAATTATAATATCTAGTGTATATATATATAGAGTATAGACTAAAACATAAAATATAAGTTTATAGTGACAATACCTAATTTTCTCGCTTTATACCTATATACAACGTTTTAAGGTTAAGGTAATGTGAAATTTTTACAGTTTAACATCCATATAACTTGATTTGATTTTATATTGTAGGTATTACAAAACGGGAGATCCCCATAATTTATCTACCAAGCAGACATACAAACAAGACTTCAGGGATTTGATGAAATTATACCTATGAACCTATACATTATGGTATTATACTTTTATACTATTTTAATAGGTACTACTGGTACTAGATACACTTAAGTATGATAAGTGACCCTCACAGTCTAAGAGAGCGCTGCTATTTTCTAATTGCTGTACGCCTGTCCAACGTGGGCGGAAAGAGCATGCAAGTACGCTATCAGCTGTCGAAGCCTTATGATTCGGGCACAGAGGATTGCGGCTCTCAGAGTCACGAGGGCGTACCGCACAGTCTCGGCTGAGGCAGCCTTATTCCTGGCGGGAACTCCTCCGGGTGATCTTCTTGCTTTGGAACGCAAAAGAGTCCGAAGTAAACTTGATGACCCGGACAGAGCTGACTCAAAATATGAGATCCGGAGAGCAGAGCGAGACATCCTGCTTGCTGCCTGGTCGAACAGATGGAGTCGGGGCATTAGAGGAGCCTGGACGCGCTCGATTCTTCCGGACCTGCTAAGATGGACGAGAAGGTGTCCCAAAGACCTCACGTTTCATGTAACGCAGGCTCTTACGGTACACGGATGTTTCAGGTACTACCTACGCCGGATGAAGCACGCCCCTGATGTGGCTTGCCTGTACTGCCAACACCCGTAGGACACTGCGGAACACACGATCTTTGATTGTGCTTACTGGGATCCGCTTCGGCTGCCAGTGAAGACGTATGTTGGTCACCGAAATATAACCCCGGGTGACGTACAGGATTTGTTGTGCGGCCCCTCTGATGTCCCGCCCAGCGAGAACGGCCGACTACAGGCTGCCTCCCAACGCGCCACTCAGTCCTTTTATGACATGGTTGACAACATTTTAAGCTGCAAGGAGCAGGATGAAAGGATAGCTGAGACCGAACGAAGAGCGAATGCAGTGGCAGCCGCTCCAACTGACTGAGCACACATAGATGCACTTGACAGCAGGCCGCGATTACCAGACTTTATTATTTATTGTATTGTATCTATTGTATTAATATTTTTATTTTTAAGGTGAAGCAACCATAATTAGTTATATGTTAAGTATGTGTATGTATTAGCGTTTTTATTAAACAATAATAAACTATGGCAGCAGAGGAGGAGTAGTGTTCATACAGATCCTCCTCTGCTGTCAGTTTAAACGGAAAAAAAAAAGTATGATAWGTAGATATACTTATCTGGTCCATAGTTCATACCCTAGAATTCAATAATCATTAACTAATATTATAACGTATCATAATAATGACAGTAATTACAAACAAATTAGTATCTAGTAGGTAGCTGGTATACACATAGGTACACGATATACTTATTATAGGACTAATTCAAGACTAAAGACAAATAAGATACGCGTATTAACGATACAAATCATACAACAAACGTGTTGAATATATTACACCTTACTCACTACCTACCTATAAGAGGARAGATTTATTTGTTTTAACTTAAAAATATTTAGCATCGATTGCTTTGAAAGAATATTATTTTGATGAAATCCATACTTCAATACATATTTTCATATTCTTAAAGACAAAAGTTAAAATATTCAATTATGTAACATAACTTGAAATACATAACGGTGACGTTACTGATCAACCGGAGTCCGGATTTGAATTATACTGTGGTTTGATACTAGCACGTTAGGTACATCACGCTCCTATCATAACAATTTATAGGTAATATAAAGTAAATAATTCTTGCTATAATTCCTTAATACCTGTATATGTTAGATGTATCTATATAAAAAATTTGAATTCATAATACTTAGTCTAATCATTATATTTATTCGTCGTGGAATTCATTATTTACGATTAATTTGTTTGTATATTGTACCTTATACCCTTATTGTATATCGGTAAGTATAGACAAAAGGTATGTAGCAATAAACATGCAATAATGCAAATTTTAGGTACGCAATTCATGCACGGATATTTCGTTTATAAGTTGGTGTAAATCCATAGAATTCATACATAATTCCAACACGTAAAAAACTTTTCATAAGGTAGTTAATACCTATAAAATGTTAAAACTTTAAAACATTTACTTTTAATTGCTGTATATTCTACTTATGAAACATATACAGGTAAAACACTAACACGGTAGGTTTAATAGTTAGGTAGGTGCCTAAAGATTAAAATAAGTACTACAAATAAAAGGAAGAAATAAAATTGATAATAGTTTATGAGAAATAACATGGTTTAAAAATAAAAACTTCCTTTAATACCTATTTTAAGTTGATATTTTTTTAAACTATGTGTCTATGTATATAACTATGAAAGGTCGAAAACTGATTTTTAAATTAATTTATTATTTTATACAAACAGTCGGTTGAAGTTATTTAAGAATTTTTAAAATAGTTATTTCACTTACATATTTATTGTTTAGTTATAAATTAATAAATTACTGTCATAAATATTTGCATTTAATTTTGCATAACTTTCTTCACAAACAATATTTAGCTATTAAAATCTGAGTTTTATCTATAAATATGCCTAGTTAACAGTTGACATCTCCTTATATTGATGAAATATATATAATGTAACCTTTTAAATATTTTATATTACCTTCTAGTACATATATGAGATAGGTACTTCCTTGAATTTTATAAATTATATTAAAATGCTAATTACTATTATTTTTTTTTTAAAGAAATTAAGTTAATAAGAAAAACAAGTAAACATACCTAAAACGAATTTATTAAGGCAATTCACATGTTTTAAAATTATTATAGCAAACTTACCTATATTCAACTTGAACAACGAACGGAAGATTCTCTATGCAGCGGCTCAAAGCTTTCGAAGAATATTTATAAAAAAAAAAACTACCGAAACTCAAGATTTTAAAAATAATATTATATATATTTAACAATATTATGCATCTAATGCGTACGAATTGCACGGTTCGGGTATTCCACTTTCCGACTGCCACGAGGCCTCGGCAAACACTGAATTGTTTACTGTTGGCCGGTCGGCAGTAATATACAACCAAACACGCTCACTACCTCTCCTAATACATGAACTTCAATATAGAAGTGTGGCTGACCTTGCTAACTGCTTTTGGCCAATCTGACTCGCGTAGACGCGTCATGATAGGTGATGTTTTTTATCCATGTACAAAATAATAAAACGTTATTTATACACAAAAAAAAAAAATTGTTTTAATCGTATGTCCGTATATAATTTGTGATTTTTGATTGTATAGATTTCAAAAACACACTTAAGTTTTTTGAAAAGATTTTAATAACGAATATCATGCCGGTAATATAAACATTTTAATTAAAAATAATATTTTGAAAAAAATAAACCATTTTCATACTATAAAATAGGTAGGTATAACAATAATTATAAAATCCATCGAACTTATATCAGTCATACATAAGTAGCAACGAAGTACACAGACGTATATAATATAAAATAATTGAATGATCACATACAGGTTAGCCACATGATCGAGTAGTACACGTATGCGCTGCAAATCCTAATGAAAGATCGCAGACAAAACGATCGACGGGACACCATTCGTCACAACCGAAACTCACGGTGTCCCGTTATACATTCAGGTACTCAATGGAACGCTGCTTGTTTAGTTCGGCTGTCCGTGCAAATTATACACGCCGTTTCCAACCCGTCCGTTGGTATGCACTCCTCGTGGAACACGTGTTGACAGTAGAATATCAGTGCGTTTCCCACGGTGTCCTGACCAATGATACACTTTTGGCAAGCGCTACACAAGTGTTGTTCGTCTACTCCACACCCCTTCTTCCGGATGTTGTACAGCCGCTCGTGCAGGTCGAAACAATCGGACACGACGATTTTTGTACATCCGTCTTCCACGGACACCTGTAGATTGTAGTCGGTCATCATCTTGACGAGCGCATCCTTCAGCCCCGGTATCTGTGTCCGCTTACCGATCCGACGGATCAGAATTCGAGGGTCTACGTACGTGCCGATTTTCCGCAATAGCACTTTGAGAAAGTTCGGCTGGTCCAAAGAGAGGCCGATCAGGTCATGCCACAGGTCGGCGTCGTTTTGGTCCTTGCAGAACTCGATGGCCTGCTCGATGTCCTGCAGCTGCGACATRACCAGGTTCAGTGCGTCCTTGGTGTTGCCCATCCGACCCAACAGGTACACCATTTCGGGATAGTACTCGAGCCGCTTGCATTCTTCAAGCGCTAGGGCGATGGAATAATTGTCACTACGCTTCAGTAACGGCAACAGCTTTTCTCGCGCGAATTCCGCGTACAGCGAAACCAAGTCTTTGTGCAAGTTCCGTTTGGCCAACATCCTTGTGTCTTTTTTCTCCAGGGCATCCAAATACGTATACAGATAGAGCCTGTTGTCCTGTAACTTGGCTACGGCCACGTCAATGGGCACGGTGTCTTTCTCTAAGAGTATCTTGATCGTTTGCTCGCAGTCCAACTGCATAAGATCTTCGATCATGTTATGTATTAGCGGGTACAAATTTTGTTTAGTAATCAACTGGAATATACCCTTGTGGTTCAGCTTCAAGTATGCTCCTAACGCTTTGTCGAACTTACCGGAATGGGTGTACAGAATAGCCAAGGCTTCTAAAAGTTCCGAACTTGAGTTTACTATTAAATGTTCGATTAGCGCGTTCGTAACAGCAGATACATTGTACAGTGTTGGTGACCATTGTTTCACAATTTTTAAAAATCCTTCAGGTTCCAATTTTAAGTACTCGTATAACACCATTTCATAAATGTGAGGATCTAGAGTAACTTCACCTCTTGGTATATGAGCACTTACTTGACGAAGTTGATGAACTTGAGCAAATTTAAATATTTCTTCTTGCCACAGTTTTTTATCATTTCCAAAAAGTTCAGCAGTCAGCTGTCCAGCCTCTACATATTCTTCAACGAATAATAAATGGTCTAAAAATTTTTTGCCCACAGATATTCGGGAATTTCGATTTAATACTATATTTTTAGAATTTACTATTTCCATAGCTTCGGCGTATTTGTTATGTTCAATAAGCCATTCAATTCTGTCGTCCGCATCACATGGATTTGCTACAACTATATCTTTTGGACTAACAATGACGAATAGATTTTCCACGACTAAACTTTCGAGGGCRTAATCGTTACAACCGAAATCTTGAAAATCTCGTAAAGACAAGTTATCAGTACACAACTCAACATACTTGGATTCTTTTGCTTCAACTACGTATAATTGTGGTCTCATTGCTTTTTCGTTTTCGTCTTTTTCTTTTGAGTAGCATAATATTACTAATTGATTATGATTAAGTGGTCCAATACCGGAAATAAAGTAATCTATACGAAACATAGATAATGGTTCTACTATATACTCAGGAACGTCTTTAAGTCTTTGTAGTCGACGTTTAACACCACAAATCCTTACTGTGTCAACCCAACCAACAAGTAATGTTCCACTATCCTTCCAAGTCAAGTTACATCTGTAAGTACTAGGTATTATGTTGTTTCTTTTATCCCATTTAATAAGGCCTAGTGAACATCGAGAAATTATATCATATACTCTAAGACCTATATTTGAAGCCCAAGCCACAAAACGGTTGTGCCACCTCATATTATGCACAACTCCTTCAACATCACACAAGACTACAGATTTTGTACGTCCGAGAAAAGTTCGCTCGTGAAGCATAAGACGATCATCTCCAGTTATGAAACGCCTGTAATTGCCGGATTTATGATATAAYGGGTCTATTGCAACAGATTTTACACAACGACCTAATGAAATCTCTTGAGAATCTTCTGTTGTGTATAGACCATAAACAAATACATTACCATCATCTGAACATGTAGCAATGAATTCACCACGACTATCTATACTTATTTGGTTAACTGCTACAGTATGTGGACGTAGTTGCCGATTATTTACGATGTTACCTTCAAAATCCAATAAATGAATAGAACCCCAATTAGTACCAATACACAAAAACTTGGGATGAGCAGCAAGATAACTAACACCGTCTTTGGTTAAAATAGTTTGAACATCATTAGTGAGACGCACATATTTAAGTTTTGGTTCAACTTCTTCAACTGTTTCTATGTCAGATTTTTCATCAGATGGATTTGTCATTTTTGGAACGTTATATCTGAAATAAAAAATTGATTTGTTAAATGATTTATTTGTATAAATATTATAATATTACTTAATATTATAATAATAAAGAAAAATAGCCTATTTCAAAAAAAAAATAAAAATAATAAACAATATCTCAATAATCAATGATATTACTTAAATTCATATTCAGTTAAAAAAATTCAATTTTGTTAATCTTATAACAACTTAATGGTAAATGTTCTTTTAATTATTTTATACTAATTAATTCTATAATGTATAGTAATTACAAACAATTTTATGAAATGGATTACATTTTTTTAAGTAATATGTTAGCTATACCTAAAAAATTATTTTTTAGGTATAAATATCATGTCCTGATTATTTTTTTAAATACTACAAGTATCAAATTTGTGGATATAATCAAATRGTTTATGAAAAAAAAWTTTTTCAATCTCAATATCAAGTGTGTATAATATACACAAAATACATTACATTATACTTTGAATAACAACATAATATATGGGGTCATTAATCATTAATTAACTATAAAATAATAATAAACATAAACTAATTTATAATTAAYTAGTGGTTATTATAAATTTAAAGTCTAAAATACACACATTTTAAATTCGGTTTTAATTATACGCAGCTTAATTCAAAGATAAAATATATCATATCACTTTTTACAAGCCCACATTCAGAATACCGTGATGAGGGATAGAGAAAGTGTTTATTTTATTCAAATTTTCTAATAGTTTTGTTTTTTTTTTTTAAAATAGCCTATACCAAAATACAGTTCAGTAGTTCCACATCATTCTTAACAGTAGTTTATTTTTGTCTAAAACAGATACCTTTCATACGTGCAAAATTAGAAAATGGGATTGATCTTATTAGTTTATTCAGTAAGTATAAGTAATTTTTAATCTAGGTTGAATTAGAATTAAAACCATAATCCATTAAACCTAAAACAAAAAGATATTAAAATGTATAAAAATAATACCTATTTTTATTTATTATTTATATTTTTGTACATATTTAACAATATTTAAATTAGAATTTTTTTTTTTTTTTAAATAGCTTTATGAAAAATTGATTTGATCACAGTTATTTATTTGTTTTTTAAATTAATATTATAATTACATTAGTCGTTTTCTTTTAAGTCACTGTTTRAAAATAACTTTATTCTGGTATTTAGTTTCTTAGAAATTAAATTATAAGGTAGTACCCCATCTAAACATAAAAAGAAAATCTTAATTATCTAAGGCAAGCAAACAATTTTAATGTTAACATGTTATATAACCATAATAAGTTATAACCTTATAAGTGCATGTRATAAACAATTTATGTAAAAATTTTGTTTATATTTCTAAAAATAAGAAATTTTTATTTTTAAAAATTCCAAAAAAATTTTCAAATAGACAAAATGCTATTCGATATGTGATTGAATACAAAATTATTCCTACATTTTTAGTTTAAAGATAGGATGTATATATAATTTTAGTGGAAGTTTTTTCCCAATAATTCATAATAATACAATGAAAAAAGAAGAAAATGTTAAAGAAATAAAAAAAGAAATTGTTTGTTTAATAAACCAATAAAATCTAGAGTTCAGTGTGTTTTGACAAGAAATTATTTTTACCAAGTTTTAATATTTTTTTATAAATTGTTGAATTATTGAAACAAATAATCAAAAATTAAGTTGTAAAATTAATTTGGTAAATTTTATATTTTAACAGATATTAATAACAACAACAGTTATTAACATATTAGCAGCTCCTGTACTAAAACAAAATGAATCAAATAGAGAGCAAAAATCACTGTTGGAAAAAGTTTTTTATCCTAAAACTAAAATCCATTCCACAATAAACCATCATTCTACCGAACTACAAAATTCATTTGGTGTTTCTGGAAATGTTGGAATTGGATTTCATTTTGGTAGCGGTTATAGAATAAAAAACGGTGATGGAACAGGAGATCAGGAAATTGTGCATAACAAAATTTATGATAAGTATTTGGGAACTAGTTTTGGTTTTGGATCATTGGGAAATAATAAAAAAGGTCATGCTGAAAATGTTGAACAATCAGTTACAGCAGACCAAAACACTATTTWTCATGATGAAGTTAATTTAATACATCAAGAATCTGACAGTGAAATAATTCCAACTACAACAGCAACAGCAAAACCAAAGATCGGAGTTTTCAGGAAAATCAGTAACTACTGGGCAGGTGAACCATCAGAACCCAAAAGCAACTATACTAGTGGTGGTATTTTTAAATGGAGTATGCAAAATTTAAAAAACAAAAATAATGTTGGAACACCTAGATAAAACAAWAACTGTTACGTGCCTTAATATTGATGAAAACCTATAATATTGTTATTACTTTATTAGCTATTAGGTATAATRATTATATAGATAGGTACTTACAAAAGTATTTTTTAATTTTAACATCACAATGGTTTTAGAAGCACTAAAGAATGCATAGTTATTAGTTGCTTATATATTATTAAAAATTCAAATAGAAAATTAGAAAACCTTATTTTTAACAATTAACATAACTAAAATCCTAATCGGAAATTGGTGTTTCACTGTTCTGTTTCTGTTTTATTTTTTTATTGATAACGCAGATAACAATACATCGACTTTTTTGATAACCCAAAATGTAGCATGGCGATGACGTACAGATTTCTACATAATAAAATGATTAATATAACAATTTATTTTGTCATGTTTTAATATCTGTAACTGTCGTAGTACGCAGAAAGCCAGAATGTAGATTCAACCATATTTCTCAGCGATCTGACTAGGTATTTTAAATCATCAATCAAACCCTAGTCAATGGTCATTTACCCCTTAGAATTTACCTAGATAGTAGATAATGTTCACAGATCTTTATTTTTTTATAGATGAAAAAAAAATACCATTTAATATATTATTTTATGTGAAATTGTCCATTACCTAATTTAATTAATAAACATTATTAATTATCATGGCCACCAACTCGGTAGACCAAAATAAACAATGTATGCACATTGAGGAAAATATAGTTTTATAATGATTAAGTTTTAATGTTCATACAATTATTATATTTACAATTATTATTTATTATTATTATAATTATTTTACAATTGTATTTAATGATGGCTGATGGCTGATTGTCAATTACACTCGAGTACTCGACTACATAATAATATGATCAACATGACTGCACTTAAAAATACCTACCTATAGACCAGGGATGGGCAACTCACAGTTACTATAGGGCCAATTTTTAAAAATTTAAAATATAGCGGGCCAGAGCATAGAAAGCAAAAAAAAAATATATATACTAACCTACTATAACTATATTGTGACATTTATACATTTAACAATGTTCAATACCAGATAACAATTATTATATCGATAAGATAGAGTATACACTATACTTAGATCATATGTGTATATCTAGTGTATATGATCTAAGACACTATACTAGACATTATAGATTATAGAGTATAGACGATAAAKTTTAAAATTGTATACCTATACCTAATGCAATTTGAAAATGTAGCGCGGGCCAGATAAAAAAGGCTCGCGGGCCGCCAGTTGCCCACCCCTGCTAAAGACTATAGTCACCTACTATAACTGCATTTTGTCYAAATTTAATTAACATAATAGTCTTGAAATACTGAGAATTCGTTAATAAAATCATTATYACATCAATCATGATGTTCATTGCAACTGAATATTTGAAAATTAACATTAGGTTCAAAACGAATGTAGAATAAAAAAAGCCACGGAAAATAAAGCCAGGAAAAAAATCCACAGAAAAAAAGCCACGGAAAAAAAAGTTAAATTACAATAATTAAATATATAACAATTAAAATTAAAGTATTAAATTAGGTATTATTTAAAAAATGTTTACATATTATTGGTAATATTGTATATATTATATATAATTATAATACACAGGTTATATGTTATTATTCATTATTCATAGTAATAAATATATTTTAGATTCTAAACAGCGATGAATGTATTAATTTTATTAAACAAAAAATTTAAATTAAAAATATACATTAATTAATTAATTTCAAGATAGCATGTAGTTCATACTGTAACATGTACATTTAAAAAAGAATTATCCTGTACAAAGTATATGATATTAGGAAAAAAGTCTCCAAATTAATATTTTATCGTAGATAAGTATTTATATACATAATTAGGTACATTT